GGCGGCCGGGCGCCGCGGAGCGGGCTGCTGGAAGTTTTGGTGCGGGATCGCTGGCACAAAGTTCTGGTGAACTTGAGCGAGGACGCCCTGGTTCTGAGCTGCGAGGAGGGCGCCGCGGCGTACAACGGCATCGGGACCGCCACCAATGGCTCGTTCTGCAGGGGCGCCGGCGGCGCGCAGCCCCCGGACTCGCCCGCGGGGGTCCGCACCGCCTTCACCGACCTGCCGGAGCAGGTGCCCGAGTCCATCTCCAACCAGAAGCGCGGCGTGAAGGTGCTGAAGCAGGAACTGGGCGGGCTGGGCATCAGCATCAAGGGGGGCAAGGAGAACAAGATGCCCATCCTCATCAGCAAGATCTTCAAGGGGCTGGCGGCGGATCAGACTCAAGCCCTGTATGTGGGCGACGCCATCCTGTCGGTGAACGGGGCCGACCTGCGGGACGCCACCCACGACGAGGCGGTGCAGGCGCTGAAGCGCGCCGGCAAGGAGGTGCTGCTGGAAGGTAAGGGGTTAACGCCGCGCGGGCCGCGCACACACCCCCTCACCCTCCCACCACACCCGCACGCTCCCCCACGTGCCGGCACAGCCCAAGGGCCCGGCGTGGGGGGTGGTGGCGGGGAGTCTGGACAACTTTAACCCACCTGGGGGCAAGTTGTCGCTACTCTAGAGTCGCTGCAGGCTTGGACCCAGCAGGGGTGTGTGCAGAGGCTCGGCGAGCAGGGTTTCTTGAGCTACGTGGCAGGCGCAGGGTCGGATGCTTAGGGCACGGTGTCTCATTTTTCCCCGCGGATAATCCGAGGGTAGCGTAGGGGCCGGGAAGTGGGACTGGAAATGAAGGGCAGCCGTCCACGCCACGGTGAGAGCTCCCTGAATAAACGCAACTCTCATAGTTTTCTGCTTTCGCACCATGTTCTCCAAGAAGCCTGGGCAATCCATTTACAAGGGTTCAGTCCTAAAGAAGACAGAGAGGAGTGGCAGTGTTTGAACGCTAAAACCCAGTCATCCTTCTGGACTTCCCTCCTCTCAGATTGGAACCCGGGATTTTGCTGGGGAGTTGTGCCAAGAGCTGGGAAGTATGTTGCAGCTTTATGCACAAGTTCCCTTCTGGTGCCAGGTGTTTGGCCGGTCAGTCTGGATTCCAGGCTGCTCTGGGTGGAGGGTTGCTGAGGCAGTTTTTCTGCCTGCCTTTTCCCGGGATTTTTCCCGAGTGGGGTGGAAACAGTTTTGCATTTGTTAAGTTTCCCCTGAGTGTGAGGCTTCTTAGAAAGGACTTTCTTGAGATCCTGTGTGCCCAATCCCCTAATTTTTCAAGTGAATAGAATAGGTAGCTGCGTTATTGTACCCTTTTCCGATTATGTACAGAAAGGCAGTAGGGTATTAAGTGGATAATCACTCTCCTTTCCCACCATGTCTGTATTTCTTACTTGGTAACTGCCTCCCTGCCCCATACCTTTGTACATACCTCAGCACAAATATCATGTAATTATTTTTGTCTATTTACTCAGCTTCCCCCTCACTGTAGAGGGGTCTTTTATTTATTTAGTTATGGGTCATTTCCCTTGAGTTTAGGTGGTCAGTGATATGCATCCTGAGTGAATAAATCAATGAACCCATAGCCACAGAAATAGAGTGTTTCAACCCAGATCTTGTAAACTGGTGGTTGATTTAAATCCTAAATTAAGGACTTAAGTCAATTTCCTGCTCACCAGATGTGGTGCTGGTGTGTGAAACTGAGAAAGTTCAGAGTTGGGAAACCAGCTTTGTTACATGTGACAGCTGATGCAACTGCTCTGGTACATGATCGTCCGCCTCCTGCCTAGAATACGGAGGGCTCCCCACACCACACACCTTTATTTATCTAGAGGATTTGTGATGTCTTCATATTTAATTGCTACCCTGGATCCAGAAAGGGGAAGGCTATTTGCTTTGGCTTGATGATTAACATAAGTAAACAGAAAAAAGTTTCTTGACTCAAGTGTGTGTTGGTTTGGTGACAAGGGGCAGGTGGGATCTGGGGCAAGTGTAGTTTGGACTACAAACCACTGGGCACCTGCTCAGCCTGCAATGTTTACTATAAACTATCAGGGGGGACAAAAGGCAGGTCATTTCTATTTCAAGGCCCTGCCCTTCATTATGTCTTTTCTTCTCCTTGGTTTCAATGTAATGAATAATGACTTAGCAAAGAGATACCTCTCACCCAAAAAGAGGAAGGAAAGGTGACTCCCTGCAGTTGAAAATAAACTTAAAGAAAAAGAAAGAGAACAGTTACGTGGCTTTTATGGACGCAGCAACTGAAGAGTGAGTTTTGTAAAAAACCTCTAACATGACATTCTTGCAACACATCATCCTGTGTTGCAGGCAGGACCTCTGGGGGAAGGCCTGTGGGCCTCCTAGACGTGAACCACCTGGGCTTGGGGCAGCAGTTTTATTCCCAGCCTGAGTTTTCAAGAGATCCACTGCAATCAAGAGAAGCAAGTAGAGGCCCCCCTCAAACCAATGTCTCTCATACTGAGTTGAAGTGTTGGTTCTGAGTGCAGTAGGAGAGATCATATACCATCAAAGCAAATATCACACATCCCCTCTTTTGTAGCTTGGACTGTTACATGGATTCCCAACTAAAGGGGCATATCAGAACCACCGGAAGGGCCTTTTAAAATCTCATACCTACTTGCCCATATTGTGAAATGCAATCTTGATTGCTGAATTTCTACTCAGGAATGGCTTTGTAGATGTAATCAGCTGGGACGAGAGGCTTAGGGAGATGTTTTAAAGATATGTTTATATAGGGCGCCTGGGTGGCTCAGTCGGTTAAGCG